GAATGGTGATTAAACTGACTTGGAACTACCTGTGCATTAAACGGTTTTACCGCATACCTGCCAGCCAATCAGAATCCAGTTTTCAGACAGACCATGGAATAAATACTAATATACAGTATATAAAAAAATCGATATATAATATAAGCAGTCAATTTATATATGTCATAAAATAGATATGAATGCAAATTATAATGCACATGGACATTGTAGTTTTGTTGTGTGTGTGTTTCAGGAAGTTGTTCAGCACGCTATATTGAGCAGACGGATCCCACGTGCGCAGGCTTTCCTGCGCAGACGCGGCTGTGTTGAATGCAGTCTGGAGGACATCAGGAAGACAGGACTGAGACGCACCTTCACCTGTCTCACTCACAGAGACCTGCCGCAGGCCAAAACACTGCTGACTCACATGGTACACACTCCAGATTAGCACACAAACATCTCCGTCTCACAATATTACGTTTGTTTCTTAAGAAGTCTCTTCTGCTCATCAAGGCTTCTGTAAAGATATGAAATATTATTCCAATTTTACAATTTATTCCTGTGATCAAAGCTGAATTTTCAGCATCATTACTCCAGTCTTCAGTGTCATACTATCCTAATATGCTTTTTTGCTGCTCAAGAAACATTTCTGATTATTATCTGATTATGCTGCCCAATATTTTTGTAGAAACGTGATGCATTTTATTTGACATGATTCACAGATGAATAGAAAGTTCAAAAGAACAGCATTTAAAAAAAAAAATAGAAATCTTTTGTGACATTGTAAATGTCTTCCCTGGCACTTTTGATCACTCCTTGATTATTAAAAGTATTCTTTTTTTTTTATTTTGTTTTTAGGGCTTCAATGTGAAGGAGCAGCTCCACAGCATCTGCGTTTTCACCGCCGATCGGGATCTAAGGGCCTTCATGGTGAAAATAAACCCTTAAAGAGACAAATATGTTTTGTTTTGAGGATTGATTGCTTAGTTTTTACAAACTAAACTCCCACTGGTTGAATTCGTTTTTTTGTGTGATCAACAATGTTATTTCAAGGGTTAATTTATCTGGTTTGCGTTTCCAGGTGGAGGAGCTGCAGAAGCAGAATTACCTCTCGTGTGAAGAGCTACAGCAGGTGGAGTTTATTCAGACCATTAATAACTTGTGCTCGACACCTGCGACGAGATGCTCGAACCGTCTGGACACCAGCAGGCGAGTGTTTCTCTCGGATTGTCTTCTTCAAATGTTGTTTCTCATCTATTATTGATGCAACAGTACAGTAAATGATGTTTGGAAGAGAGCTGGTCAGGATTAGGCGATGTTGGGAGCAGTGTTAATTTCGTTTTTCAACAAGACTATAACAAACTAAAACTCGTTTTGAAAAACTATGACGAAAATCTATTGACGTTTTCGTCAACGAATAAACACAATTTGGTCTTACTGTTCACGTAAACACAGTCGATTATGTCTTAAGTATTTAATACTGTAAAGCTGCTTTGACACAATCTGTATTGTTAAAAGCGCTATATTCATAAAGGTGACTTGACTTGAACATAAACAGTAAGAGAATATAGGACGTGTATTAATACATTGCATCCGTGCATTCGGTTTTAAAGGGACAGCAGTCTAATTTAGTTGCTATTGTCCGAGTCACTGATGTTAATCCAGCAACAAAAGAAAGACAGAAAATCACTCACTGCTCTTGACTGAATCACTTTAGTAGCCCTAATAAAGATTAATCTAAATTTATTTATAGAAATAAATGTCTGCTTGAAAGAATGAAGAATATGGTTATACAAGTTGTTATATAATGCATAATTAGCCTATATAACCATTGGTATTTCTTTGAAAAGAAGATCATGTTCTTGTTCTTTATGAGAAGTGGTTTTATTTAATTTTAACATAAAGGCATGTTGTGTGTCACCGCAGTTAAATCGGTGTCTATCATGATATAACCTTAATCTCAAACCTATATAATGAGTTTGGAAATTTTAAAGAAATGCTTAATAAATGCACTGTAACTAAACCCATTAAATTTACTGTATTAGTCGACTAAAACTAGAATAAACTAAAGCAATTCAGATGACTAAAATATGACTAAAACTAAATGGCATTTTAGTCGAAAGACTGACGAAATCAAAATTTGCTGTAAAATGAACACTGGTTGCGAGCTGGACTCGAACCCTGGTTTATGGGGCGTGGCAGGTGAATGAGAGGTGTTGGGATCTTGTGTCCAGGGTTCTTCAGATGAGCCGGTCTGATCCCGAGAGCAGGCGTCTGCTGCAGGAGATCACGCAGGAACCGGACTCGTCCTCCTGCAGCTCTCTGCTGGATCCTGTGCGTCTGGACTGGGTCAGATACTGGGACAGAGAAACGCAGAGCTCCATCCTTCTGTCCCGACTGCAGCCGCCTGGTCAGTTCATCACAGCTCAACACTTCAAGAGTCACGCAAGCAGTGTTGGGGAATAAAGCAATAAGCCCCAAGAAGCCGTGGTTTACAGTGAATTTATAACAGCTAAGGGGCGTTGTTAGAGTGCCTAAAACCCCCTTAGCTGTTATAAACTCACTGTAAACCACGGCTTCACGGGGCTTATTGCTTTTATAAAACGGTTATTCCATATACGTAGTAAGGTTTCACAGAATAAAACAGAGCAAATAAAGTGTAATGATATAAATAAAAACAGTATTCTTCCACCAAACAATGTAGTTCCTCAGAATCAGTTGTGGTTGCAACAAAGTGGTTGCCGAGCAACACACAGACGTAAACAAAGGTGTGTGTTCGTAGAGTAATTTACAACAGCTTCGAACGCGGCTCAGCCAATCAGAATCAAGGACCGGAACTCTCCGTTTTATAAAGTTACTTTTAAAAGTAATGCATCACAATAGTGAGTTACTCCCTAAAAAAGTAACTAATTGCATTACTTACAGTGTTGGGGAATAACTAGTTACACGTAATTTAATTACAAAATAAATGTAACTGTAAACAGTTACAGTTATTGAGAAAAAATGTGTAATTAAATTACAGTTACTTATGAAAATGTTAACAATTTTTTTTTTTTTCCACACACCCACATACAGATTTAATAGATTTCTTCCATAAATTGCAGTGAAACCAATGTATCAGGAGTTTAGGACACATGCTTATTCAATAACGGTTTTATTTGTTTATGTATATGCTTTTATTTATTTTTTTAATTACCTGTTTTTTTCCAAGGCATTGTTAGATGCTAGTGCTTTCTGTCACGGCTATGCAAAGATTTGATTTCAAAACAGTATCATAGCTATTAAACTACTTCTTGTTATGATATTAAATCTGTATTTAACCTCAGAACTATCTCAAAGTAAGAAGAGGCGCTAAAATCTTGTGGTCGCTGTGCTTTAAAATTTAATTATTGTAATCTTAATTCAAGTAATGAAGGATTTTGAGAGTCTGATAGTAATCAGTGTTGAGTACTATTGTTAACCCTGCCTGATTTAAATGTTTCAAAATGATTAACATTTGAAAACATCCATTAGAAATGTAGAAAATAATCAAATGTAATCAGTTACTTTAATAATTGAAATAGTTACACTACGTATTACGTTTTAAGTAGGGTAACTTGTAATCAGTAACCTATTACATTTCCAAAGTAACCTTCCCAACACTGATCACTTAGTTACTTTTTAATGGAACGTAATGCGTTACGTTACTTTTTCAGGTTAAAATTAATTTCCGACACGCAGAACTTTTTTTTAATTTTTTTTTATTAATTTGTCAAGTTTGTGTCAAAACAAGTCATATTTCACCTCAAAATCAAAAGCAATAAATAATAAATTACATTTTTGCATTTGCATTTACATTTTACTCCCCAAATTCTCTTTCTGTCTTTTTATTTTGTTTTGCATTTAAAATCGGAAAGCGATGACATAATCATCATATTGCATACTGAATTGTGATTGGTCCTCTTTCATGTGTTTATTTGCATTCTCGATTTGTTTTTCTTTCTTACATCTGTTTAACCATCTGTTGCCTTTTTTACAATGTAAAGACAAACTATTTTGATTACATATTGCAAATTAAGCGTTTTTTTTAAACCACTATTAACATTTTTTTGCCCTTTTTTTTTTTTTTTCAAAAAG